AACTTGGTGTCACCATTTTGAACCTGAGAGCAAACGGCAGAGCAAACAGTGGAAACATGTGACTTCTCCCCCACTGAAGAAATCCAAAGCCGTACACACAAGTTCCGTTAAAGTGATGATGACGTTCTTCTTCGACTGCAAGGGCCCTCTGCTTGTCGAATTTCTTGAGCATGAGGCCACAATCAGTGCACAGCACTATGAAGAAACTTTGCAGAAACTGAGACGTGCCATAAAGTCAAAACGCCCTGGAATGCTATCGAACAGTATTATCCTTCATCACGATAATGCGCGCCCCCACACTGCCAACTCTGCGAGGAATACGCTACAGAGATTTGGTTGGGAAGTGCTTCAGCTTCCCCCCTACAGCCCAGATGTCTCCCCATGTGATTTTCACATTTTTTGGAGACCTGAAGTGAGACATTCGTGGACATTGGTTTGCATCGGATGAAGACATGTGTGGCTGGGTAAAGATGTGATTCCGTAGACAGCCCACAAGCTTTTTCAAGGATGGGATTGACCGTCTTAACTCCCAGTGGGATAAATGTATTAACAGTTTTGGAGATTACTTTTGAGGTAAGAAATGTTCTTTAATATGTTTTGGCTTCTGACCCGTTTTCATTTGACTGCCCATCATAAAATTAAAATTATGTATAGATTTCCTCTGTTGGATGTGCCAGGCTTTCCACTGTCAGTATGACTGCATTTTGGCTTACAGTTACTGTCTTGATCCTAAATGTTATATACATTATATGATACAACTGTCACCACTTATGTTATCTATGATATGTTGATATTTGTTTTTGGTTGACTGTGTTTTGATCCTAAGTTCATTGAATGTTTTCTTCTTAGGAAGCTAAGTAGCTTAAAATTTCATGTTTTCTTTTATTACCTTGTTGAAGTACATTGTGTCCTTAATCACGTTCTTCTACAATATGACGATAATTGTATTGATGGATTTGTAGTCTTTATTCGAGCTTATGCTGATGTGTTTGCTTTCGTCATCTGTTGGGTTCCAGCCAACCATGATCAAACATCAACATATCATAGACCACATAAGTGGTGACAGTTGTATTATATATATTGTAACGTGTTTCGTTTCTGAAGATGCCGTGGAGATTGTTAATTGGTTTATTCAACAACCTACAAGTATCGGCTACAATTATTTATAACACAGTTGCGGGGTTTCACACTTTATAACCCTATTCGCAATAATCTGCTCACACTGTTCTCAGTAGTCTACACGTTTTTACAGTACAGGAGCTCTACAAGTCTCTCTGTATTACACACTCCCAGTTACACAATTACACACGAGTCCAGTTCTTCTTTCTGCGACTGCTGTTAGATTCCAACTCAACTCATAGGCTGCTGGCTTGAGAGCTATCTTCGGCGACTGATGCACTTGACTCTTAACTAACTGCGACAACTGAACTCGGCGACGGCCACATTTCAACCCGAGAACTTGAGAACTGATTGTGAATAGTCTTCGCTGCTCCTTATTTAGCCTCGTTCCGGACAACACAGAAAACAGCCACGTAACAGGCACCATTGTTGTCTGGCGCCGTGTTGCTAGCAACGCTGTTTACTGCTGTGTAGCAACGGTGGCATCCCATGTTATGTCACCGTGGGAAAGGTGGGGTGTTGACTGGCTTATTACCGTAGCAACGGCAACGCTCCGGAAGTGTTACATTACCGCTGGTGTGGTGAGGGTTTGTCCTCCATTGCGCAACACGTCACACCGCTCCCTCCTTAAGGCTGTTCGTCCCGAATAGCCTAACGGTGCATCCCTGTTCCGTTTCTTCAAAGGATGGCTTTCTTGCAGCGACTATTCTCCTTCCGTTACAACCACTCCTCTCTTAAGACCAGCTCATCTTGAGCGGTTTCCTGCTAAGTTGCCAGAAGATCCAGTTGTGTCACACTCATTCATCGCACATTCATTCTTCCTTGGGAGGCCGTTACTTCTACATTACCGGTTCCTCCTCTGCTTGAAGTATCTTTTTCCGTTTTAGAAGGGGTCGTCCCCTCCACAAGGTCCAATCCTTGCCTTGTTGTAATCCGACAGAAGATCTGACCATTCGTTTCGCGATCTTCACGCTGACAATCTCGTAGATGGTCCTCTTACAAATTCTCCCTCCTAGGTGCGATCACTTTCCTGATCTACACCCTCTGATGGTGTTCTTGGTTGGCACCTTTTTCTTCTGGCATAGCGGCTGTCTGCTGCCTATGTTCTTTATTCCAGTTCCTCTTTCCAGGTTTCTTGTTCAACATTGTCTGCTTTTAGTCCCATACGCCTGTGTCCTACACAGCGTGTAATCTTTATTCCGGTGGTGGTCACTTCTTTCCACTGGCATCCAAAGGTTCCCTGGGGAGTTTCCTTCTAGAAGGCATTTCTCCAACATTGTGCCACTGTCGCGTGGCAGGATATCTTCCTGCAGGTGGCAGCCAACTTCATCCAGGATACATAATCACCTCGGGTCCATGATTTCCTGAAGATGTTCCTCCTACTCCATGCTCCTGTTGCACGGCGGGACACTTTCCTGCTGTTTTCCTTCTGCCGTTCCTCTTTTGCACGGAGGCTCGTCCCTTTGCTGGCTACGGCCAACTTCTTGTGGGGTCCACAACTTCCCCATGTCAGATTCTTCATATTTCACTGATTTTGGTCCCTATGCCTTTTCTTCTTTGGTTCTCTGACCGGCATTACTTTGGCGTCTTCTGCGGGTACCTCTCGTAATTCTGCCGCCTCAGGTTTCCTGTCCACTGAGGCCAGCTTTTCTCCTTCTGGAAGTGCCTCCATTTCTCGGCAGGCCATCGTCACTCTGACCGGTATTGCAATGGGGACCTTTTCTTGTTGTGCCGCCGCAGGTTTCGTGACCACTGGGCAGGCCACCATCTCTTTTTGGGTAATCGGCATCAATTCATCTTCAGGTTCACTGACTGGTATCACTGCGACGTTGTCTACAGGGACCTCTTCTTGTTGTTCTGCCTCAGGTTTCATGTCCAGTGGGGCCGGCTTATCTTCTTCTAGATGTGCCTCCATCTCTTGGCAGGCTATCATCTTTACGTCTCTTTCGGGTTTAAATGCGTACACCATCTCCATGTGGCTGGTGCCCATTATTTCTCACATGGCTTCTGTCCTTGCTTGGATAGTTCTTGTTTCTGCTCTGGTGGCTTCCGTTTCTGCGACCAGCTCTTCTCACATGGCGGCCATATTTTCTCGCCAGGCTTTCCACCTGTCATCAGCCCTTTTCTCGGCAGCTTCTATCTGGGCCCTCAATTCTTTCCGCAGGAG